AAGCATTAAGTTGCTTACTTTGGGGCTAGCTGGCGCTGTGTGAAATTGTCCAAAGATTTATTTATTTATTATTATGTCATTTAATTTTGTCCCTAACGGGAATTGAACCTCAGCTAAGGTACTCATAAAAACTCATAAAACTCATTAATTATGCAAGTAGGCTTTTAAAAAGCACTTTTACACGTCTCAGTATTAACCCACTTGTTACGGAGTTCACTTTTTCTATCACTTACCTTAAATCAGTCATGATAAATTTATCTCAAAAAAATCGCTCCAAAACTTTATAGTTATTTACGTCAGTGTACTTATAAGACTTGGACCGTACTGTGACCGTACTGCGACACACCTCATCTTTCAAATGTTGCACATAAAAATTGTATACACTACCCACATTAGTAAAAATATTTAACCCTACCACTGCTTCAGGACAAGAAATGGGCCAGTGCTGAGAAGAAGCAGCGCAAGCAACTCAGTCACTATAATATTGTCAGCCTCTTATTCAAGGGTTTACAGTACATGTGAACTACCAGACAGCTTAATGACTACATGTGTTCCACTATAACTTAGAGATGGTTTAACGACCCAATATCCGGCCTAATACAAATCAATCAGACGTAGGCAAATGTCTGTACTGAGGGCATAATTAATGCGCAGATTACTCTGATCACATACCTATTCAATTGGATGAATATTATTTAGGGATACAAGTTTAACGTGACCATTTATTTTCTGTGCCAGAGCGGGACAACTGAAAATAGTTAAAAAAAACAAAGTTTTGGGAGTTTTACAAGTTTATAGAAGATTGAATTGAATAACACAAATCAAAGCACTAGACACAAAACAGTTAAGGCGATNAAGATTTATTTGTTAAAGTAAGTAAGAAAGCTGAAATTGATGTGTGAACCTCTGTACTTTTCATATTATTTGACCGCAAAGGGTATTCTTATTGCAACTGGACGTAAAATAATGTCATTCCATATTTCTTCCCATGTGCCAGAGGTAAAATTGTTTTTGGCGTGGGTTTTCTTGGAGTAATCATTAATTTTGTTGGCTTCACTCAGAAAGGTGGTAGATAGAATGTACGATAGCAGCATGTTTCTTTTAATAAAATTAGAAATAGAGAACAACCTAGGTGCCTTTTAATGCATTTCGTTGTTGGTGCTTCTGTATAGTTGGGTAATATACTCAGATCATAGATGAGGTAAATTAATGGAACCTTACCCTTTGTTTAGGTCTTTTCAGAAGTAGCTATCGCTACAAGATGAAATGGTGCGTTGTTGCTTCAATCAGAATCGCAAAAAGATAGATTTTTTCCAGACACGCAAAAAATCGGTTAAGTAACGACTTGTTCTATGTACTTAATACAACAAGCTTATGTGAGCACATTAATTTTGTCCCCAACGGGAATTGAACCTCAGCTAAGGTACTCATAAAAACTCATTAATTATGCAAGTAGGCTTTTAAAAAGCACTTTTACACGTCTCAGTATTAACCCTACCACTGCTTCAGGACAATAAATGGGCCAGTGCTGAGAAGAAGCAGCGCAAGAAACTCAGTCACTATAATATTGTCAGCCTCTTTTTCAAGGGTTTACAGTACATGTGAACTACCAGACAGCTTAATGACTACATGTGATCCACTATAACATAATTAGAGACGGTTTAACGAGACCCAATATCCGACCTAATACAAATCAATCAGACGTAGGCAAATGTCTGTACTGAGGGCATAATTAATGCGCAGATTACTCTGATCACATACCTATTCAATTGGATGAATATTATTTAGGGATACAAATTTAACGTGACCATTTATTTTCTGTGCCAGAGCGGGACAACTGAAAATAGTTAAAAAAACCTGCGGAATTATAAAATAAAACAAAGTTTTGGGAGTTTTACAAGTTTATAGAAGATTGAATAACACAAATCAAAGCACTAGACACAAAACAGTTAAGTAGTGGGGTGACTTCTAAGTCGTATTTTTGTATTTGTCGGCGGAATAAAATTTGTTTTAGAATATCGTATCTTGTTTTTAGTTATCGATGGAACTCATGATTTATTTACATTTATTTTCATAATCAACATAGCTTTCATTAATGCTACATTTAGTTGGGTTTTATCACTCGTCCACATTTTGTTCATTTGAGAAAAAACTCTTTCGACTGGTGCGTTACTTCCTGGCAGACACATAACGTACTCGATAAGTAAGGAAAAGTTTATTACATCAAGAGTGTTGGTACGAATGTGGGAATAATTCGAGCCAACGGTTTTTAAAAACGATAGATCCATTCTTAAAGCTAAAGCGGGACGTTTTTGCTCTTGCGGGGGACAGCGGGACAGACAGTCTGAAAGCGGGACAGTCCCGCCCAAAGCGGGACGTATGGTCACGTTATACAAGTTACAACCATGATTGTAATCCACTATGTTAGTATAATACTGTATCTAATCTATTAGTTATCCATGTACAGACAGACAAGTTTTAAGAGTGAATTTGCAACAAAAATGTGGAGAATATTAAATAAAATGTAAAACCTACCTACCTATTGTTTAATTTTGAATTTTTTGCTGATCGTTATATTAGCCAGATATCTAAGGTCAGTCAAACCAAAGAAAATATTAAAATATCTGATAGTTAAATTCATAGGCTTTGCGCATTTTTATCGTTATGATTGTTTTCCGCAGAATGACGTCTCACCAAATTATGGTTTCTTTTTTTTGGACTATCCCGCGCATTTATTGCCGCAGATGGTTTTTTCTTTTTTTGTCATAAGAATACCTACGATTCATTCACTTATTGAGAAACTTACATTTTATACATTATTACATTTTTATGAGCGATATATTTTGAAGATAATAATCTAATTTATTTGCAAAAAAGAAATTCCGGATTACAACAAATTCTTTTCAATGTTCCCTCCATTTTCTCAAAGTCTTAAATAACGCCATCTATTGAGGAGTACTTGAACTACTTACCCCATTACTTACCATTATAATGACGGAGAATACCAACCTTACGTTGACATTGACGTTTATGGCTCTAAAAACTTTTTGGTCATTTCTGAACGAAAAAGAGAGTTACCAGGTAAAGCGGCAAAATTACCTTTATCTACATTTTTATCGGGGCTTGCTTGTTTATGTTGCGTTTAGGTCGCGCTGCAGTTGGACTGTTGTTTAAATTGATATTTAGTATGGAAATGTAATTTTAAACTCATTTTTAACGACTGTGGGTGTAACAAAGTGCACATTACTATCGCAAACCAGTCGAAAAGTGGTCTAAAGGTCTTTTTAGGGTTCCATAGCCAAATGGCAAAAAACGGAACCCTTATATGTAGATTCGTCATGTCTGTCTGTCCGTCCGTATGTCACAGCCATTTTTTCCGAAACTATAAGAGCTATACTGTTGAAACTTGGTAAGTAGATATATTCTGTGAACCGCATTAAGATTTTGATGCAAAAATAAATAAAAAAATACAAATAAATATTGGGGGCTCCCCATACTTAGTTAGGACTGAAACTCAAAAATTTTTTTTTCATCAAACACATACTTGTGGGGTATCTGTGGATAGGTCTTCAAAAATGATATCGAGGTTTTTAAAATATTTTTTTTCTAAACCGAATAGTTTGCGTGACAGACGCTTCCAAAGTGGAAAAAAGTTGCCCCTCCCCCTTTAACTTCTAAAATAAGAAAATGAAAAATCTAAAAAAAATATAATATGATGTACATTACTATAAAAACTACCAACGAACATTTTGTTTTGAACGAGATCTAGTAAGTAGTTTTTTTTAATACCTCGTAAATCGTAATTACCGCTGATTACCGCGTAATCTTTCATACAAATAACTTAAATAAAAAAAAATCTTAGATCAATGGTACGGAACCCTTTGTGCGTGAGTCCGACACGCACTTGTTTCGTATGGAGTTTTGACGAATTCGATTTTCCATTCGATCAAAAAGTGCAACTTGTGTAAAGGGGCTGTCTGTTTATGTTTTTTTTAATACATCATTTTTTTAAACTAGTGTGCAGTGAGTAATAGGTGCGCAGAATCGTGAAAATATGTATTATGACTAATTGTACATTGCTGAAAAGTGATAAAATATTATCTTTTATATTGGATAAATTTTCTACATATAGCCTGACCAGGAACATAAAAACCCTGGCATAGAGGCGCGTCAATTGCATTTGATAGTGCAACACTGAGTACAGTCGTACGTGTGTTAAATTAATAGGCTAACTTTATGTATCAGGATTCAGGATTACGGGCTAATTTTGTATTTTCATGAAATAACGAAAAAATATTATCATAGGTAACCTGGTTTAAATAAATAAAATGAAAACGTCAATCGAGCTAGTAGGATTTATTTTATTATTCGTCAATAGTAAAATTCAGAACTTGAATATTCAACTGCAATGTCTGCTCATGAACCCTTCAAACTCGGTACTTCTTTCCCAATTTCATAAAATTCAACACTTAGAAAGTGACAAAAAACTTTAAAATAGGTAGTTGAAACAAACCACAGCTAATTTTCATAGTGGACTGTACTATACGATAAACATGTCAGTCAATTTGACACCCTTGTCGGAAAAATTATTCAATGAAAATATTGTCCGAACCCTTAGTATTCTCTTCGACAAATACTTTAACACATTGTGAACCACTTTTCTTTCACGACTATAAAAAGATTTTAGCAATGTAATTCAAAAATCAATAAATTGCGCACATTTAAAATAAAGTTTGTTTACACTTTGACAGCAATAGACTGACATGCAAGGTGACATGTCAATGAAGTTTTCAGTTACTGTTGCCATTAAAAGAAATTAGTACCATTAGTTTTCCGCAACATGGCGAGGGTTTTTATGTTCCTGGTCAGGCTATAAAATAAAATACAAACAACTTTAAAAATTTTAAATCAATTTGTCCTTTATTTTAAGGTTCAATGGAATTAAAGATAGGTAACTCCTACTTTTTGAGGAGATTTTTTTGACGTTGACAACACCCGAATGACGTAAATCACAACGATCGATCGCTCGATGGTTGGTTTTTCAGTGCGATAAAAATACGTAAACACACACATCTCAACGTAAATCGAACTTCGAAGTAGATAAGCTACGCGCAAGTTTTCATTTTATTTTACCGCTAAATATAATTAACACATACGCGCTGACCATTCGTCGCGGTGGGAAGTACCGCAAAACGCGAGTGTAACTAATAAAATTTTAACTTAGAAAATGAATTTCTTGGGTTTACCCATCCTTGTGTGTGCATATTTTAGTTATGTGTACGCCTACGAAGTCGATACATACGATTTTCTCATGCCAGATGTTTGGCCTCACAGAGTAAGTTAAAATTCAAATTATCTTAATATTTTTTGTTCCATAAGTTTTCAAGTAATATTCAGAGTAAATGATAAAATAAAGGTTGTGCTGTGCTAGCTTAGAGGACATTTAAAATAAACTGCTTAAATTTTAACTGTACTGTAATACTGTAATTGAACTTCTTCATCTAATTTTCTCTGCAAATAAAAAGAGTCCATATTCATAAATCAAATTCTAACTGGTGAACTTATCAGGCTATGTAATAGTATGCCAAAATGTGAACTTGTAGTTACAATTTTACGGCATTTAAAGAAACACAGTCATAATGCATAACTACTACATACATTTAATTTTTACTTAACTAAGAGACTGAGAATTTATGTACAATTAACTTTTGCCCACGAGGCCGGTCCATTGCACTGCGGACGGGTTGACCCCTGCGATTATCCCTAATGCGGATAACTCGGACGCGTAATTTTTGGTAAACTACACCTGCGTGAACATTAAGTAGGTAGATCTCGGAAAGACTTTTCCGTGTGTCCCTCTTTAAACCTCAACACTGGGATATAATCTATCCTGTGTTTTCCCTGGATTCCAAAGTATCTCTATACCAAAAGTAATCTAAATAGGTTAATTCATTTAAACGTTGAAAGGTACAGACAGACTTCATGTTTAAAAATATTACTTTGCATCATGGAACCACAGAGTATTACTAAACATTTCATTAATTAAACTTGAGTGGTTACTGGGAAACTAATCAGTAATTATAATTAAGATTCTGAGTGTTTCATCAAATATTCCCCCTTATCATAATGGTCATCCAGATAAGCAGTGTGGGAGTAAGAGCCTTATTATATTGCCGTTGACGTTGATATATCTTCTATCAACCTTGAATTAAAAGTCACTACAAAACAGCACAGTTAAAAATAATCTATTTTTATTTATACAGAGGTTTGTTTTGTAACACACATTTGAATAAACCTAGCCTAGCAACAAACTATGAATAAGATTTTTTACGTACCTATCTAATTTAATACACAACATTAGGATTAAGAATCCTCTTCTTAGAAACATGTTCTAACTACATTTTGGGTAGGCACACATTTTTAGGACATGAGACTGCTCACAAGCTTCTAGGCTACGTTGCACCACCTTAACTTTGACTATAACCGGTGTTTTTGTATGGAGTTTGAAAGACAGACTTAGACATTTTTGTTATAGTTTAAGCACAGATAAATAATACTGTTTAAGTAAGTGCAAGGGTTAGAAGACTCATGAACTTCATTTTTTTTAGGATGAGCTCTACCTCTGCACGCCAATCAGGATCTCTCCTCGCAACAACTATTACATAGGTAAGAAATCTACTAGATTTATCTTTTAAAATTACCGTTTCTAATATCACAATATTCTTTGAATTGTAATGCATGGTAACGTACAGGGCTCTGTTTAACCTCTTAGCCCCCAAGCGGTAGCCGGCTGTCACGTAACAATTTATTATCTATTGTGTCTAGATTCACGGAGCTTGAAGGATTAAAACCATATTTAATTTTCAGTGGGATTCGAACCTAATGCTACAATGCACACTGCTCACCACATGCTGTTGTATGGTTGCTCGGAGCCAGGAACTGACGATCCTGTTTGGTGAGTTTTTTTTACTTTTATTCTCTTTCAAATCTGTGGTGACGCTTGTCATTATTCTTTTAGCGATGAGACCCCTGGGGAACTCCTCATTCACTGATGTGTTATTGTATTATTATTTACTTATTTGAATGCTTAGTTTTCCTCAATATTTTAATCTTGTTCGAATTCTGAACTGTTAAATTACATGAAACACCTTCAGCAAGGAAGCGTGCTAAAATTGGAAACAGCGTTTAATTGTCTCATTCATGCACATAATGCATTGATAGAAAATAGATTGTTTGAGGATAGTGTGAGTGTGTGTGTGTGTTATTAGCTTGATTGACGAAAGACTTCAAATTGATAAAAACAAAAAAACTTGTTTGCATGACATAAATTGCATCGAGCAGACTCCATGAAGCAGGTAAAACTTTCTCAAACAACAGGTTTTTTTGTTTGTGAAAATTTCGTAAAATACGTAATTTTAGGTACTTGCAACTTTAGGCAGGTACTATTTAATGCCAATTCAGAGGTTTAATGCCTTTTGAAAATTTCAGTTAATTTATTTGTTTAATTAAATTACTTTTTTAATCATATTATTATTGTTTACTACAGATTGAAAAGTGGTTTATGCAATAAAATACAACGAAGCTAAATCGATTTTGTTATCAATTTAAAGTGAAGCCCGTATCGTGGGCGTTCGTTTATTTGAACTGCATACTAGGTACCTACTTACCGATACTTTCATTTGATTGTATTCTCCGATACATTCAATAAAAAAAAAACAAAGGCTTTTAGGATAATTGAATGAGGCAAATGGAATAAAAACATCTGTGCGAAAAAACAAGTTCATAAATTCTTCTAACAAAAAATTAAATTATTATGTATTGTAACTTTCTTTTTAACCTTGAGGCTTATTAATGTTGAAAAAATAATTTTGCACAATGCGGGCATCGAACCCGCTACCTCTATCGACTTTAGATTATATCCACTGTATTCTCCTGTAGGCCTATGCGCGCCGCGATAAGCGGTTATCACGTCATTTTATCGATTTTCCCCATACATTTTGACGTCGATAAAAGTTATCACGGCGCGCATCTTAGGCCTACTGATCTAATGAAAACTGCGTGAAGGGCTAAGTAAGTGCTATTTGATTAAGTAGTTCTAGTACTTGACACTATTTGGTTAGAGTCAACCTACTTTTAACTACTAACTTGTCTAACAACTTCGACTTTGTCTCGAGTAGTTAGGCTGTATTATCAGTTATCTACTTATCAGCTACTAGCTTTTGCCCGCGGCTTCACCCGTGTGAAATTTCGTTTGTCAACGATCGTCATAAATTATAGCCTATATTCTGGATTATAAACAATATTACCTACTGTAAAGTTTCATCAAAATCCGTTCAGTAGTTTTTGCGTGAAAGAGTAACAAACATCCAGACATCAAAACTTTCGCATTTATAATATTATTAGTGAGATAGTCGAAAAATAATCAGGATAATTTTACTATGGTTACTTGCTTTGCATTTAAAGCCTTAATGAGGGCCCATGCAAGCCACGTACCTATTTCACAGCTAAGCGACGAGCGTTAACTACTCTGTTAAACAAACAACACAGATCTAACTTGCGATTGATTTGCTTGCTGCGTTACTATGATATCGCGTACACATCTTGCCCGATGGTCAACGCCTACGCGCCTGAAGTAAAAACAGCTCTCAAGGCGCCTGACGCTTAAAGTAAAACACCATGTATATGTGCCTTAATTTAAAACAGACAATAAGAATATTTCATTTTCAGGAGCTGTGGAGAAATGCAGAGTAACGACATTGACGACCAGTACAACACGGCCAGCCCCTGCCGGGAGGGATCTCAGGTAAATATCATTTCATTTACACCTACATATTCGTTCGTTTTAGCCAAATGACGTGCCATATCGAATACCATTTGATCGAAGGTCTATGAAACCATAGTCTTCTTCTTGTCGTGTCGACAAAAAACCTATACGGTGTCAGCCCAAAACTCCGCCACAAGAGTGGCTTTGTCAATAGCCTTCATTAAATCTTCCTGCGTGCAGTTATTTGGGCACGCAGGGCACGACATCATGTGCTTCGTCGACTGGTTAACCATAGTTATAATATTAAGTATCTGACAGTTAAATTCGTAAGCTTTGCTTCGTGTATACCTTCGTTTCAGCCAAATGACGTCCACTGCTGGACAAAGAAGGGCTCCCCCAAGGATTTCCGCAACCATTTTTGCCTCCCACGACCTTCACCAGAGAGTCTACACCTACATTTAACTACCTACGTTAAAATGTAAGGAACTATGGACGACGGACATAGCTCGTAACGGATCAATCGATATGGCCGATTGTTACTTTTTGTTGTATGACTGGGCTTTTTTAACCACAATGAGGCGACGACAAACTTAATAAGACGGTGGTTTGCTAAACCATGCGGACATAAAACAAGCCCTATAAAGCAAACCGAAAAGGTCGTTTTTCCCCCGCTGGATATCGAACATATTTATTATTGGGACATCAAAACTTGTCCATACCACAGAGGCGGCTCGAATAAAAGAATAAACATTTTTGGACAAAGCAAATAATTCAACCTGGCGAAGTGTGGGTGGGCCGCTATAGAACATGCCTATTATTCTGTGTTTTCTATGTAAGTAGGTATATGAATGTATTTACAAAAAAGTATTTAAGTATGTTTAGGTCCATTGTCTAGTACCCATAGTACTAGCTTTGCTTAGTTTGGGACTAGAGGCGCAGTGTAAAATGTCCAAGGATATTTATTTATTAATTTATTCAACAGAAAATATGTATTTTAATAAATATTATGCAGCGATTGCAATGGCTATTTCAAGGTGATCGAACGAATTTGAATTCTAAATATCAAATTTTATACAATACCAGCATCTGCCCAAATCTTGTGTAATCAAGATGTTATGGCCTTGACATAAAGAATGCTAGGTTATTACGAACTCAGTCTAAAAAGCATTACTGGGGTCTCCTATGTGCATACTCGGTTTTGATTATATTAATACAACAACACCTAAAGATTTGCTTGTTATATCGATGTTTGATTTATCATTTGATGTATTATTAGTAAGTGCGGTAAGTGTAGGTATTGTTGAAATAAATATCTATCGGTAAGTGCGTTTTCGGTGAATTTTCTTACTAATATCCGTCAATTTAAACTTCGGCGTAATAAAGCATCATTCTATGGAACAATCAAGCAATGATGTGATGTTCTGTGAAATGAAATCATTTGACATTTAAATTCGCGTAGACACTCTTTTCAGGGTGCGTGTGTATCGTCTAGCATCCCAAATATAGCTGTCCCTATTGGGAAAAAATATTGGCTGAGAGGAATTAATAAATTGGTGCTGAGAAGAAACTAACAATTTACTGCCCTGTCCAGAAAACTCCTTACTGACTCTACCTGTCCTTACTGACTCTACGGTGCCCTATAAAACAGAACTAATACTTTATAGCTATCTATAGGTACCTCTAGACCTAGAATCTAGGTCCTAGATAAATCTGTTTGCGCCCTCGACCTAGATAAAGTAGGACATCGATCCAAACAGATACTGCACTATCTACCTGCAGATCTGGGAGGAACATGGTGGTAATTACAATATGTAGAAACATAAGAATCGATAAAAGTCGAAACTATTCGCGATGACATCACCATTGAACTAGAACAGCCGCTCAATACAAACAAAAATAATAATGTATGTAAAACCAGTACACTTAATAGTACATCAAGTTCAATATTTGCACTGCAAACATCGCGCTTATTTCGTATGAAATAAGGGTCTCAGGATCAACATTTACGTCTAATGACTCTGATGTACAGTCAGCGTCAAATACACTCAACATCAAATAAATCGCACCTTCCGCGACGCGAACTTTAAAGATTTTCTTCTGACACAATCATGGTGCCCCAACAATATTGGTGTTATTTGAAAGCCCAATAGATATCCTTAAAGAAAAACACATTTAATTTCTAAATAAATGATTAACATTATACCATAAATGTGACTTGAAAACAGACCTCACTTTGGGCTCACCTCTGGGATCAATTAGACCAATTTTTATGGTTATAAAACCAAATAATGATCTCATGTGTCCTCTTTAACAGATGGGTAACGATTTATCCCAACTTAACAGTTTATAGCCATAAAAGTTGGCTCTAGCGTAACTACCTATTTTTTTAAGAAATGACTTTGGATCCTTTTACAGACACATTTTTGGGGTAAAAACCCTTCCTTTAATGAAATGAAGTTTAGAACTAGGCTTTTAAATAGTGCCAATATTGTTGGGAAGTGGGGATGCATACGTTTGAAGCTTGTCGCGGGAGGTGCGATTTATTCGATGTAGAGTGTAGTTAGTTACACCTAAAGTGGAAAAAGTTTACAACACAACTTTATTCCGACGTAACATCCCTGTTGCGAACTTTTTGGCTACTTTGGGTGTCACGAACTATTTGATGCTGACTGTACCTACATTCGTATTACGGGAACACCTAGTTTCTTTATTACGCCTATGTACTTTGAATAATATACTTTATACCAATATGGTAAAACAGCGCCGCCAAGGTCATCCTACATTGTGTGATGTTACCACCACAATTTTTCATGGATATTTAACCGTTATGATTATGTTATTTTATTAAATCGTTTGTTGACATCGGACTAATGAAAGTTACACACTGAAAATACAATACTCGAACATAAAACAAAACATTCAAGCAGGCTTTAACATGGGTGCACATTTTGACATTAACGTGTTCGTTCATGAAAATACGAACTCCTGAATATACAATGTATAAGTACTATATGTCAAATCTTCTGTTCGTTTTCATGTATTCTTCTTACTGAGATAATTCGAACTCATTTCCTTAAACATATCTTTTTTCATCATCATCATCATCTTTTCAGCCACAGGACGTCTACTGCTGAACGTAGGCCTCCCCCAATGATTTCCACATCGCCCGGTTGGTAGCGGCTTGCATCAAGCGCCTTCCAGCAACCTTTATGAGTTCGGTCCACCTTGCCAGTTCTTTTTATGCATAACAAGGCAGGTATTTGACCACAATCGCACCTGATGTTAAGTAAGATGCAGTCTGATCTTTTTAAGAGTGGATCTTTTTTATTTCATATACTTTTTTAAATTGAAAATTTATTTAAACCTTCAGATCGTGTACGCTTGGGCCCGCGACGCGCCGAGCCTGCAGCTGCCCAAAGACGTCGGCTTCCTGATCGGCAAGGACTCGCAGATCAAATACCTGGTGCTGCAGATACATTACATGCACAAATTCCCAGGTGCGCATCTATACTTCTATCGTTCGTTTCAGCCAAATGACGTCCACTGCTGGACAAAGGCATCCCTTAAGGATTTCCACAATGACCGGTCCTGCGCTACCCGCATCCAGGTACTTCCCGCGGCCTTAGGCAGGGTACTCACCTGCCATGTAGCACGTAACGTAGCATGTAACGTAACCAACCTTCAAGTGAGTACGGCTCGTCCACGGTCATCGTATCGGCTGCGAGCTCCTGAATCCTACTGCGAGCCGCCTTTGTGCTCGCAGTGATACCGCCACTCGGCGGGTCGCTGCGATCTCCCTGCGAACCATCCGCGAGCACGCTCGTGTCTATGTACTCACTTGATACAGTATCTGATACATAACATGCTACACGGCTAGATGAATACCCTGCTTTAACCACTATACTTACTAATATTATTTCTTATGAACATAGGTGGTACAAAGTTCGCTGGGGCAGCTAATACTATACTCGATGCAAAGACTTGTGGCAGGCGGGGCCATCATAAGTAATTTTTGAAACAGAGATGCACACTCGCCAATATTTTATTAAATATTACGTATTATTAACAACGCTATTGCCTGCCTTTGTGTGACGTCACCCATAACCGGTGTGAGTGCGAGAAAAGACATGATAAGCACTGTTTTTACACCGCATGCCACGAGTCTTTGCGCCGAGTATAAAACTCAAAACTCGATTCAATCTCAAGTCTAGATTGAGGCTTCTCATTGGTTGTATTTCAATATTTAGACCAATCACAAGACAGAATCTTTGGTCGAGATGGTCGCCCGTATTCACAAACGATACTTGCTTAAGTGAAGCAGCAAATCGAACGCACAGCGTTGAATAGAGCTCTGTTCATGTGTCACCCTGTGCGTCCACGCGCACTGTGATACCTCATAGTAGTGTTTGTGAATACGGGCGTGTTTAGTTTTATTGGGCCTTCTTTTGCATTGCATGATAGAAAATAACCGATAAAACTATTTACACATTCCATTGTATGTTTACTGTTGCTAACTTATTGTGCAGTTTGTTTACAATCGCTACAGATAATCTTATTGTCATTTGTAAACAAACTACATGTTATTCGTATTGTTAATATTTCTGTGCTATGACGTATCAGCGACTGTTTTTAAATTACACATGGGCAAAAATATAAACACAAAGCACAAAAAAAACGAACTTTTTAACGATTTTTGTAATACTTAGCCTTGGCGCAGACTACCGTCTTTTAGTTGGCCGATAGTTGGTCCCGATTCTAATTTGTATGAAGAATCGGCTGATACCAAATCGGTGTAATGTGCGCACTTCCGTACATCTTGACTTACTTGACTTACTTGACTTAAGGTCCTATGTCCCCTAGATGGGGCAGAGGGCGTCCACAACAGTCCTCCATCGCGTTCGGTCTTGAGCTTCGCGTTTGATCTCGCTCTAAGTCTTGCCGATCTTCTTCGCCTCGTCAGCCACAGTGCGCCGCCAAGTTTGCTTGGGACGACCACGTTTGCGTTTTCCTTGGGGGTTCCAATCCAGAGCCTGCTTGGGGATGTGATCGGGATCCCTTCGGAGAGTGTGGCCAATCCAGTTCCTTCCATACATCTCCATACTGATTAACAGCCCGACCCAACTATCGGACAACTAAAAGTTGGTGGTCTGCGCCTAGGTTAAAACTTAGCTAATATCCTTCTCGTCTCAATATCGTTTTATTCAGACCGCTTGAAGTCATAATATCTGCAATCATTGTAAAGTTCTGTATTATTGACGCTGAATTCACATTATGTACTTGGAATATGTTATAACAGATGTGTGTTNAAATCGATTTTGTTATCAATTTAAAGTGAAGCCCGTATCGTGGGCGTTCGTTTATTGGTACTGCATACTAGGTACCTACTTACCGATACTTTCATTTGATTGTATTCTCCGATACATTCAATAAAAAAACAAAGGCTTTTAGGATAATTGAACGAGGCAAATGGAATAAAAACATCTGTGCGAAAACTAAGTTCATAAATTCTTATAACAAAAAATAAAATTATTATGTATTGTAACTGTCTTTTAACCTTGAGGCTTATTAATCTTGTAAAAAAAAATTGTACAATGCGGGCATCGAACCTTTATCGACTTTAGATGATATCCACTGTATTCTCTGGTCCCTTCGAATGTAATGAAAACTGCGTGAAGGGCTAAGTGCTCTTTGATTAAGTAGTTCTAGTACTTGACAATATTTGGTTAGAGTCAACCTACTTTTAACTACTAACTTGTCTAAGAACCTCGACTTTGTCTCGAGTAGTTAGGCTGTATTATCAGTTATCTACTTAACAGTTATAAAACGGCATTGGCGGTGTAATAGCACTAGATTTCGTTCTTAATCGTCTTCTCATAAGGTCGAAAAATAATCATGGTTAGGTAGGTACTTGCTTTGCATTTATAGCCTTAATGAGGGCCCATGCAAGCCACGTACCTATTTCACAGCGCAGCGACGCGCGTTAACTACTCTGTTAAACAAAAAACACAGATCTAACTTGCGACTGCTTTGCTTGCTGCGTTACTATGATATATACAGGGTGACTGGAACTGAACCCGCCATAGCTAATACGCGTATAGAAGAGGACATTTGCTAATTATTGAACCTTACTTTCTATAACTAAAGTTTTATAGTTTAGGAGATATGTCAATTTTTATACTTTTTTCAGATTTTTCCGAAATTTGACCTAAAAACTGCTTTAATTTTTTTTTCTCGCGTGATTTCAACAGTTTTTTTATTTGATATTAATATCGAATATGTCTATATTCAAACAAAATAAACTGATCCAAATAATGATTGAATAGCTAGTTACGAGCCGCCAAAGTCTAACAAAAGTACAAACCACTATAAAAAATTCTACTTCGAATTCGATTGAAACAAAAATTAATGATGATAATGGATTGCCAATGATCTTAAAAATATCTCTAGCTTCTCTTCTTTCCAATGATATATCACACGTAGTAATTAGATATTGAAATTGATTAAAAATGCAAAGTTTATGGAAGAAAATGGAGTAATAATACAAAAATTATCCATACAAAGTTTACTTTGAATTTTTTAAACTCTTTTAATCATAATTTGATTATTGTTTTTAAATTCATTTTTCAAAAAACACAAAAATAGTTATGAAAAGGAGTATAGCAGAAAATATGAGATGTTTGAAGAAACTTTGTATGGATAATTTTCGTATTATTACTCCATTTCTTCCATAAACTTTGAATTTTTAATCAATTTCAATATCTAATTACTACGTGTGATATATCATTGGAAAGAAGAGAAGCTAGAGATATTTTTAAGATCATTGGCAATCCATTATCACCATTAGTTTTTTTTTAAATCGAATTCGAAATTGAATTTTTTATCGTGGTTTGTACTTTGTTGAACTTTGAAGGCTCGTAACTACACTTGCGAGCAAAACTATGGAATCACTTACATGAAGTTGTTTCCACGCGAACTTGTGTACTAACGAATTTGTTAGTAACAAAAAAAGTGGCACCATTTTAAAGATTAAACTTTTATCTTTAAATTGATACCAAATTCATTTAAATCACACCAGTATTTAAAAAGATATCCCGGCTGATGTGAAGAAGTAACGAAAAAGACATGTATGAACTGTTTGAGACGTCGCGAGTTGCGGCCTATTTATCCCCTATAAAAGCACGCGTTTTTAGATTTTTGCTTTCACACGTCGATTCATACACATCTCCGCTTCTTTTGACACTTTACCTGGGATTCTACACCTTCAGAAGCAGCACAAATCGTTGCACTATTGCAAGAAAGGCTCAGCCAGCGGGCTGTCGCACGTCAGCGCCACATAAGCCAGTCCTGGGTTTCGAAATTTTCAAGACGCTTTCGGGAGACTAGTGGCTTTATCCCGAGACCAAGTTCTGAACAGCGCCGGTGCACATCGCANTAACAGATGTGTGTTAATTGGTTTCAGTTCAAGTAGTTATCATCATAATGTGAATCCAGCCAGAGCTCTTGCTTTCTTTAGTGTCTAAGAAAATAAACAGGGTAACTTGGATGCATAATCTTGTAAGGAGTTAAAGTACAGATCATTTGCAACATTTTTTGTATATGGATGGACACTTATATGCAAAAGTGAACCATTATTGAAAAATTGACCTTTAAAATGACACAATGAAGAAAAAGAATCAGTATCTTTTGAGTTTTTTCCTTATTCCTTTAGTTTTTAAGTTACCGTACCACCTAGGATTTTCCCAAAAAAACACTAAAATTTTACAATAATGGTTCACTTTTGCATATGAGTGTCCATATACAAAAATGTGCCAGTTATTATTACCACCTTACAAGAGTATGTTTTAATTCCAAATCACCCAGTGTAAATAAATAGTTCTGCCCGAAGTTTTGTCAGTCAAAAATACTTACCAAATGGATTATATTTTTGTTTGAGCCTCCGATAAAATTTTTGATAAAAAGTAATAATATGTTTTTCTCCAACTTTGTTGTTTTCTTTCATTTCAGAGAGCAAAAGGGACAATTCCGGAGTGTTCATCAAATACACCAAAGAACCGTGAGTAATGTTTGTTTAGTTTACTAATTCACAAGTTTCCTTGTATGGTTGTCCTTCTTTAAGACTTGACTTATATTATTTTTGTTTCTTTAAATTTTATGCAGATTTAGTTTTGTTGCAAATGTTGATAAATTTATTAAAGGTAGGTATAATAATAACGAATCACTTATCGATCGCGTTGAAAGTCTTTAAAAAGAATTTAAACTTCAGTGAAGTATAAATAAAACACATAACCAAATAAGCGTGATGACATCATCAATCTGTCAACACAATGCTCTTCCATTGAATTAGAGACCCACGGCTATGTGACGTCACATCGTTTATTATTTTATCTTTAGTAACATTATCTAGGAATCGAATTTTAACACAAATAACATATAAGCTTTTCCAAGTACTATAGCTTGAAACTAAACTTATTCAATTATATTTTCTTAAGCCGTGGTTATTTGTCTGTTATTGTTTCACTGTATGTTTTCCGAAAAAAAAATATTTTTCTTGTTTTAGCATGCATCGCCAAGCGGGCGTGATTCTTCTAGGCACTGGCGGCGTTATACCAGCTAATAGGGTGGAACATATGGAGACGGCTTGCACCATCCGTGAGAACAAGGTCATTCACCCCTTCGCGTTCCGCACGCACACTCATGCGCTTGGTAAGTACATATAATATACAGCAACACGCACAAAATGCATGCATAAAACAAACAATGTATGAACCTACTTGGTACGGGGGAGTTATAGCAGCCAATAGGGTGGAACATATGGAGACGGCTTGCACCATCCGCGAGAACAAGGTCATTCACCCATTCGCGCTCTGTACTCACACTCATCCGCTTGGTAAGTACATTACATACACAAAAAAGTAAAAAACTCGGTCAGACCAAAAAAAGGGAGGGGATAATCGAAAAAAATATAAATCTACATTCCACTAATAACCGCAATCGTACAATTTATTTATGTGGCACTATTGAATATTAATGCCTACCTACACTGCGTCTTCCGACTCGTGCGACCACCAACTCCACGAGCTACGAGGGGCGGCTGAAAAGTTTTGAGCCTAAGTATCTTCAAGTGTTATTATTGACTCGCGCTAAATTTAATTAATTTGCCAATAACCTCCTTAGTGTATGTACAAAGTTTCATTTCATTAGCGTCATCACGCTTTTAGTAATTAATCCGTAAACATCATCATGTCTCAGTCATCCGCGCAATGTACGAAATTGAAGTACACAGTTGTCATAAAATTCCTCAAAAAGAGGAACAAAACGCTGACGGTAACATTTGAAGAGATGTCTACAGTTTATGGGGAGTCTGGACCTTCATTTGCCATCATGAAAGATTGGGTCCGATAGTTCAAGCATGGCAGGGAGTCGCTAAAAGATGACCACAAGTCTGGGCGGCCAGATTTCGCCTTTAACGAATAAAATAATGAAAATTTAAAGAATCTTGCTTTAGAGATCAGCAAATTAAGCTGTGACAGATAGCTGAAGCCATAGGCATTAGCAAGGAACGTATCGGCGATATTTTTCATACTCATTTGCACATGAAATAGGGATGCGCGCGATGGGTGCCAAAAATGCTCACGCCGCTCGACAACCAGCGTCGAGTCACAACTTTGCAGGAGTTTTAGGACATCTTTGGCCATAATCCTAACAATTTTTTTTATCACATTATCACTATTGATAAATAATAGATCCGGCAGTACGATCTAGAGTCAAAATAAGAGTCAATGCAATGGATTCAAAATGGAAAACGCCGCCGCGGATATTCAAAGTGGAGCGATCGACACTCAAGCTCATAGCCACTATTTTTGGGATTGTGGAGGAATTTTATTCATTGACTACTTACTTAAAAAAACTACAATAAACGGGGATTATTATGCTGTACTCTTGATAAGAGTGCGTCAAGTGGTTGTTGAAATATTAAGAGGCAAACTGGCGAAAGGAAATCTGTCATTGCAAGACAATTCACCCGCGCACACCGCGCATGTTGCATGGCTTGCCCCGGGTAAAACTGGATTTCAAGAAATTAATCACCTACCACATAGTTTAGTCCGAATCTCTAGCTATTTTGTCTAATTATCAAATTGGAAAAAAGGCCCCTAGGAACGAAGATTTTTGAGTGACAAAGAAATGAAGGCGGCGTTAAAGGCTCATTTCGAAGGCAAAGATTACGAATTTTTTTTCAGTGGGTTAAAAGCTCTTTTACACAAATGTAACAAGTCCGTTGTAGTAGAGGGAGATTAAATCTAAAGATACAGTCCTATCAACTTAAGCTGAGAATTGCATTTGTGTGAGTGATCGCCAAAAGTACCGTTAGTAAAACACATACAAATAAAATTAATGTTTTATTAAAAGGAAGTCTATAAAACACTTGCTAGCAATTGGGCCGATGTAACGACACTTGACACATCCTTTTAAATAAATAAATAAATAAAAACAGGTCCTCGCTCAGCATATGCCAAGACACGAAGTACCTCGACGCTGATATTCTGCGAGCACCGTTTATAGAGAGGGCGTCCAGCCAGCCTTACAAAATACAACAAAAAGACAAACTTTATAAAATTACAAAATAAAAACAGACTAAAAACTTTTCGTTCACACCTTTAAAATNGGTTAAATGGAGGCCCCTAGAGTATGATAGTCTTTAACATGACATGATTGTAAAAAAATGCACTAATGAGTAATTAATATCAACTTTGAAGCAAATCACCACTAAAATAACTTTCTACCCCTTTTTAACATAGTTAGGGGGTGCATTTCACTAAAATACGAAACACATCTTCCATTAATTCTGTTATAGAATGCTTATGCGAAATTTGAAGTAGATTGAACGAAGGAATCTCGTAATCCCATACAAACCAATTCCTGATATACTGAAGCGTTCTATAGTTAAACCTATATACAAAAAAGGTGATAAAGCCGATATCGGAAATTATCGTCCTATAACGCTGATACCTATTTTATCCAAAATATTTGAAAAGGCCATGCAAGTTAGATTGATGAAATTTTGTGTAAAATTTAATATAATAAAGCCAGAACAATACGGTTTCCAAAAAGGGAAATCAACTACGCTTNAGTCCTCCTTGGTTTATGGTGCACCAGATGGTCAGGTTATTTAACCGCCGCCTGTTGTTCGGCGTTGTCGCTCATTTGGCACCACCCAGGGGGCACGTGTAGGGTAAGCCTCGGAAAAGGTGGTGTTTCCTACGGACGCGAGCAACTTCTACCCCCCCCATCGTCTACACTTACATTAACTACCTACTTTGGCTACTTTGAAACGTAAGGAACTATAGACGACGGACATAGCTCGTAACGGATCAATCGATATGGCTGATTGTTACTTTTTGTTGTATGACTGGGATTTTTTTTACCACAATGAGGTGACGACAGACTTAAATAAGACGGTGGAGCAGTCCAAGGACTTAAAACAAGCCCTACCATAAAACGAAACCGAAAATAATAATATTTTCCCCCCGCACATATCTTGTCCTTACCACAGAGGCAGTTCGAATGAAAGAATAAACATTTTTGGACATTTATTTATTTAAAACAAGTTACATAGAATTTCCAAATATTAATAATCACCATTGACGATGTCACAAATAATTCAACCTATCGAAGTGTGGGCGGGCCGTTAACATATAACCTGACTATTATTCTATGTTTTCTATGTGACATATACTATGTATGTATGTATTTACAAAAAAGTATTTAAGTAGGTATGTTTATATCCGTATTACCTATAGTACAAGCTTTGCTTAGTTTAGGACTAGAGGCGCAGTGTAAAATGTCCAAGGATATTTATTTTATTCAACAGAAAACATGTATTTTAATAAATATTATGCAGCGATTGCAATGGCTATTTCAAGGTGATCGAACGGATTTGAATTCTAAATATCAAATTTTATACAATACCAGCATCTGCCCAAATCTTGTGTAATCAAGATGATGGCCTTGACATAAAGAATGCTAGGTTATTATGAACTCAGTCTAAAAGCATTACTGGGGTCTCCTATGTGCATAGTCGGTTTTGATTATATTAATACAATAATACCTAAAGACTTGCTTGTTATATCGATGTTTGATTTATCATTTGATGTATCATTAGTAAGTGCGGTATGTGTAGGTATTGTTGAAATAAATATCTATCGGTAAGTGCGTTTTCGGTGAATTTTGATACTAATATCAGTCAATTTAAACTTTGGCGTAATAAAGCATCATTCTATGGAGCAATCAATCAATGATGTTCTGTGAAATGAGAACCGATCATTTGACTTTCGAATTCGCTTAGGACACTCTTTTTAGGAAGCGTGTGTATTGTTTGGTCCCAAATATAGCTTGCCCTAGCTCCACTTCGTTAAAACATATCGAATGGCGCTACGAAGAAATAACTAACTAATTACTGGTTGTTCTTCTGATTAATTTCGTTGCGGGTTCAATGATAGTTTATATTTCCCCCAGAACAAACTTGGCCTTCACTGGTTGGGTTTTTATTGGCGGTCAATCTGTAGATCCTGGCTACACAGGAGTTGCAGCGATGGGAAAGAGAGGTGGGAATAGTCCCGATTCCTTACTGACTCATAATAACGCAGAAATATTACTTTCTATCCATACCTCTAGACCTAGAATCTAGATCCTAGACTCCTAGATAAATCTGTTTGCGCCCTCGACCTAGATAAAGTAGGACATCGATCGACAGAGACTGCACTATCCACCTGCAGATCTGGGAGGTGAATTGTAACAGGGTAACATGGCGGCGGTCACAACAGAATCGGTAGAATCGATAAACGTTGACACTACCTATTCGCGATGACACCACTATTGAACTAGAACAGCCGCTCAATACAAACAAAAATAATAATGTATGTAAAACCAGTACACTTAATAGCACATCAAGTTCAATATTTGCACTGCAAACATCGCGCTTATTTCGTATGAAATAAGGGTCTCAGCGTCAACATTTACGTCTAATGACTCTAATGTACAGTCAGCGTCGAATACACTCAACATCAAATAAATCGCACCTTCCGCGACGCGAACTTTAAAGATTTTCTTCTGACACAATCATGGTGCCCCAACAATATTGGTGTTATTTGAAAGCCCAATAAATATCCTTAAAGAAAAACACATTTAATTTCTAAATAAATGATTAACATTATACCATAAATGTGACTTGAAAATAGACCTCACTTTGGGCTCACCTCTGGGATCAATTAGACCATTTTTTATGGTTATAAAACCAAATAATGATCTCATGTGTCCTCTTTAACAGATGGATAACGATTAATCCCAATTTAACAGTTTTATAGCCATAAAAGTTGGCTCTAGCGTAACTACCTATTTTTTTAAGAAGTGACTCTGAATCCTTTTACAGACACATTTTTGGGGTAAAAACCCTTCCTTTAATGAAATGAAGTTTAGAACTAGGCTTTTAAATAGTGCCAATATTGTTGGGAAGTGGGGATGCATACGTTTGAAGCTTGTCGCGGGAGGTGCGATTTATTTGATGTAGAGTGTAGTTCGTTACACCTAAAGTGGAAAAAGTTGAAAACACAACCTTATTCCAGTCGTAACAGAGACGTATTGTGAACTTTTTGGCTACTTTGGGTGTCACGAACTATTTGATGCTGACTGTGCATTCGTATTGAGGG